TTATTTATTTATTTATTCATTCATTCATTCATTCATTCATTCATTCATTCATTCATTCATTCATTCATTCATTTATTTATTTATACCCCGCCCATCTAGACCAAAGGTCTTCTCTTGAGCCAGAGGAGGCGGGGAGGGGAGCACCACCACCTATTCTTCTACTTTTACGAATCGGGATAAACTGGGACAAACCAGTTCATGCCCATCTCTAGTCAGTATTGTCTACCTGGATGGCAGAAATACTCCAGATATTCACACAGAGAAGGTTTGACTGTATGGCCACCGCTGCCGTGTGTTTTATGACACCAGCATGTTTTAGATAGCTATCCGTCAAACATACTTTAAGTTGGATTCCTATACTGAGCAAGAGGGGGGGTGGGCTCAATGGCCTTACAGGCCCCTTTCAACTTCATTATTCTGTTTGGACAGTTCTCCCAACTGGCAATTTCTACATTCCTGTTTCCCACCAGCCTGTCAAACTTCTTTCTGCATGCCTTTTCTTATTTCCAAACAAATCTGTTAAATCTTTTTATCAACGTTGCGAATCTGTTTCTCTGTGCTTATCTGTGTTTTGTTACCCACCAAGTTTTTAACCACTCTTGTTAAGAGCTGCGCACGTCACCGGCCTCCGTGGGGAATTAGTAATTGTGCCTTTAAATTCACGGCTGCAAAATCTAAGGATTGGTGCTATCCTAAGCAACACAGATAGAATTGTCATCTTGCTAAGCCCGCTAATGACCGTCTGCCCATGACTCCCCATATCTTTAGAAACGTCTGTCTACTGAGACCTGATTCCATGCATCCGAAGAAACGGGCAGGAGTCCATCAAAAGTTCAGTGAAACGAAACATGTTCGTCTGTGTAATTAATCTTGCTTGCACAGAATTGCATTCAAATACAGTGGTGCCTCGCTTAACGGGCACCCCATTTAAGGATGAAACCGCATAGCGACAAGTTTTTTGCGATGTTTCCTATGGGGAAAAATCGCTTTGCGATGATCGGTACCCTGTTTCGCTTACCGATCATCGCAAAGCAATGATTTTTTAAGAGCTGATCGACGGTTCCAAAATGGCGCCGGGTAAACAAAATGGCCACCCGCTGTGTTTTCGTGTCGATTCCTCGCTTACCGGCAACGAAAATGGTGGCCGTATGGAGGATTTTCGCTTTAAGGTGAATTTTAAGCCCATAGGAAAGCATTGAAGGGGTTTCAATGCAGTCCTATGGGCTTTTTAAAATCACATAGCGATGAAATCACTTTGCAGTGATTTTTGCTGCACCGATTATCGTTGCTATGCGAGGCACCACTGTATATACTGCCCTGTAAGCCATTCCTGAATAGACCAGTCATGGACTCCCCTGAAATCTGGAGGGGAAGGTGCCCCTTCTTGGAACAGGGATGTCCCTTGATCCACAAGCCACCTCTGCTGGCCCCTGGCTGGGACAAAGCAACAGCCCAGGTGGTGCTGGAATTGGCCAAGGAGGTGCCTAAAAAAAAACTCCACACACTACTTGCCCACCTTTAACTTCCTGACCTTGTAGTACGACACCATAGTCTCTTGAGACTGAAGGATGCCTAATCTTAAAGTACGACACACACACCCCACATACCATTAGCCACAGGAGATTGAGTGACAAGTGATTCTTCTGGTCCTGCCTCTGGGAAAGATCTCTCCAGTTCTTTCTGCAGCAGCTCCTGAAGGAAGATTCGGCCCTGGGCTTGCAGAGCTTCTACCTCTCCTTCCCTCTGCTGTGGGGAAGAAAGGAAGGATGGGAGGGAGGGAGGGAAGGAGAGAGGGAACCCCACATACCATTAGCCACAGGAGATTGAGTGACAAGTGATTCTTCTGGTCCTGCCTCTGGGAAAGATCTCTCCAGTTCTTTCTGCAGCAGCTCCTGAAGGAAGATTCGGCCCTGGGCTTGCAGAGCTTCTACCTCTCCTTCCCTCTGCTGTGGGGAAGAAAGGAAGGATGGGAGGGAGGGAGGGAAGGAGAGAGGGAAGGAAGAAAGGAAGGATGAGATGAGAG